TTGATTCAGAATTGGGCCTTATTTCTATTTAAACTTTAGGGGCATCAAGAGAAAAATAAAATTTGTAGAATGAAGTTTTATAATTTATGTAAGAAGTTAGACTCACTCTCTGGGAGTATGGAACAAGCAAGGCCGCACAACGAAGCACACTCGGATCTTAACGGAGGCGTTCAACAGAATACCCTTGTTAAGGATGGGGTGTGACCGAATGGGCACAAAATTAATATATGAGAAGGCATATAGAATATCAATGAATGATAATTCAGAAGGACGAGCCGACATAGAAATCTATGTCGATGGTGCCAAAACAGATAGTGGTTCAGGAGCCGGCATCTACTCCGAACAACTGAACGCACAAATCAGTGTACCTCTCGGCACCCACACGTCTGTCTTACAAACAGAACTGATGGGAATAATGCTGGGAGCTAGAATCATTGCTGAACGTGAAATCGGCAACAAATCAATACGCATACTTACTGACAGCAAGTCTGCACTACTAGCCCTGGACAGCTGTATGGTTCGATCCGGGCTGGTTTGGGAGTGCAGACAAACGCTAAAGTATGTAACGCAGAGGAATAGTGTGGAACTTTGTTGGATCAAAGGACACAGTGGCAACGAAGGAAACGAGAGGGCAGATGAGATGGCGAAGCGAGCCGCGCGCATGCCCTTCTGGGGACCCGAACCGGCAATCACGCCTTCGGTCGCCCTCTCGAACGAACTCGTAAAGCAATATACCCAGAGACGCCATGAGCAGATATGGGTGAAATTGAGCAGCTGTCGGCATAGTAGAGCTTGTATGGCGACACCAGACCGTAAGTTGACGAAATTTTATCTCTCACTTTCAAGGGACAAACTGCGTAAACTGGTAGGATTCCTTACGGGACATTACCAGTTTAACAAACATCTACATACGATAGGGGTGGTAACAGACCCAATCTGTCGTGGATGCAATGAAGAAGAGGAAACAGCTGAGCACATTCTTCGTGAGTGTCCAGCCCTAGCCTCCTACAGGGAATCCATACTAGGGGACATCTGGCCTAGTATGGCAAATATCAGGGAGTTTCCACCCTCTGCATTACTCAAGTACATTCAAGCAGTTGGGTGGCTTGACGAGTAGAGGAGCGGGAAAACACCCTGATATGGACTTGGGGAAGGTACAATGGGCCCAAAGGCGAGGCCTAAGTGCCGGCTGGCTACGGTCAGCCCCCATAATTTAAGAATCCAGAATCCAGAAGAAGTTAGACTTGTATGATTGTGTTTCAGAGATGAGGAAATTTTTGCTTAAATAACTTTACATATTTTTTTTAATTCTACTTATATACGTTGTTCAGATTGCCTTCGTAAAAGTGAATCTAAAATATTTGATCATGACACGATCACTTTTACTTCTTGAGCTATCCTATTTCTTCTTGTAATAGGATCAATCCACCGGACGGATGGCCTCAAATAGGTCTCCCGTTTCCGTCTGCTTGTCTGTCGTCTGCCGCTTGTCCAGGTTTTTATTAGACATGCAAGGAAAATTGTGTAGATGGTAAAACACTAACCGCAGTTTGTTTAATCGGCACTACTAACACTGTAATGACGTTACTTTAAAATTCTTCTTAGTCAACACATTTAAATTTTCTAAAATAATATACTCCTGTATTTGTAGTTTATGAACTCACCTCGATTTTGTTTATTATTGTTATTTTTATTGTTTAAACGTTTTTCTTTAGTCACTTGGTACGTAACTACGTAAACCTAATTAAGGGTGTTTTTTTTTTATTGAACAAATGAACGGTAAGCCCAATTTTTCAGACAATTTGAAAATATAATACAGAATTGATACAGCATTTTCCAAAGCTCGCTAGATACATAGGCTTAACTTTTCGCTTTATTTTCTGTCAATACGTGCTTAATCGTCGAACTTTTTCAAATGTATAAATATAAAGAATCGAAGTTAAGCATGTACTGATAATATTGTTTACCGTTGGTTTTCTGCTTTAAATAGATTTCATATTCTCCTGTGCGCACTGCGTCCATTTGTACTATGCGCGTCTCACAGCTTTACCTGTGTTTTTAACAGTCCAGTCTTTATTTTAAGTCGTAAAGATTATACATACTAAGAAATAAAATTTTATATATTTTTTAAGAAACTATATTTGTTCGGCTGTGCTTTAGGAGTCAGGGAAGTTCTGTCTAAGTAGTCCTAGACCGATTTTTTATATCTAAAATACGTACAAAATTTGGCTTGTAGAGTATGTAATATTTTTAGGCATAGGTATACATTTTGGGAATATTCTGTTGATTTATTTTTTTAATAGTAGAATGAGTTCAGTTTCACATTCTTGGAAATGACATTTTTTATGCCTTCAGTGATGTAGCAGGAGCATTTTTAATTTTTTCGAAGTTAGGAAAATAAAAATTTTGGTTCGGTGTTGTATTATTGCAACCAAGAAGTAGTAAACGAAGGGCTATTTACAACTCAAAAAAAAATTGGTCGAAGGTTACTTCGATAGAATTTCCCTCGCTTATAGGGCCTAGGAGGGACAGTCAAACAAAACGGCGTCTTCGAAAAGTGATAAAATTTAACTTTGCAAATGTTATTTTTTGATGATAAACCAACCCCCTAAGTTAAAATAAAATTATGTCTGGATTGTCGACGTATAGGTAAAGGAGCATGCTATGTGTGTGTTTCAAGTGAGTTTTTCCGTAACAAAATTTTGTAATTACGTCATTAACATTTTATAAGACACGTATATTACACATTTTCGGGAAAATAGGGTGAGCCGTTCTTGATTTGGAAAAAAAAGTTTCTAATTTATTAATTGTTCTTCTGTGACCCCGTGTACATAATATTGAAAACTTTGAATCCATTGATAAGCACAAGTAAAGAGTTACAATGTTTTACGTATGCACAATCTTGAGATAACGTCATAAATTTTTTCGGAAGGGATAAACGGATAAATTTTATTACGAATTCACAAAGCTTATGACAATCGTAACATGTTTGCAAGATTTCAGAGCATTCGGTGTAGCAATTTCAAAATTAAAATGCAAAATGTTGTTATACAATTGTATTTTTTTTTTTTTTCTAAAAATATGTATGCCAAAGGTAATAACTCAAGATATATTATAAAGTTTAGGTAACATTTATTCGGTAAAATTTTAAGATGACGTTATCATTTTTGGAGGCGTTAAAAGGGATAAATTTTGATTAATTTTTTACTATACCTAAGATCACCTTAAAACGTATGCAAAATTTCAAAGTACATATTCGGTTTTGCAGTTTCAAAGGTAAATTGTAAAATGTTATTCAATTTTGATTTTTTCCAAAAATCTGAATGTCTAGGGTCACGGATTGATAGAACACAAGTGCAGGAATATTTTATTTTATAAAATTCAAATAACATTCACTATTGTAAATTTTGGAGATGATGTCATCCCATTGTTCCACAATCCATATTATATTTCTAATATACATACAAAATGTGGCAACAATGGGTTCGTTACTTTCGAAGATTATCTGCCAAATCAAAATTGACACAGACAGACAGACGGAAGTGGGAGACAACTTTTCGTACTCGAGGGAAAATGAAACGTCGAAAAAACATAAAAGTTGCTAGTCTCCCGATGGATTCGATTATTATACTTCCTTAGCCTAGCTTAGGAAGTCAAAAACCGTTAATAAATGTTGTATTTATTCACAAGTGTACGATTTGATACTCTCGAAGTTTTATAACTTTGTGGAAATATATTTTTTTCAATAATAAAAAAAAAACCCAAAGCATCTACGTTATTAAAGAATTGATTATTGCTACATCAATGTTACTATAAGTGAACTCCTGAAAAATGAAATGTGAAAAACAACAAACAAATTTAATAACATTGTTTTCAAAGTATTGGTTTCGAAATTGTTTCTATATTTCATTTTCAAAGCTTTAAATGGTATATTATTATATAACCAATTATGGTAGCCGTTATTCACGAAGATGACGCTTGCGAAACGAGCCGTAGGGGAGTGGAGCAAATCATCTGAGTGAATAATAGCCATAATTGTAAAGATAATACTATACTTTTTCTACTCCCAAATGGAGAAAAAATCACGTAAAACTTTAAAATGAAAAAGTACCTAGACAGCAACAAAATAACGATTTGATGTAATTTTCGTCTTGTCAGATTACTGTCAATTTGAAAATTTGAATTTAAAATGCAACGATCAAAGACAAACTTTCAAAAAGCCTACTACCTTTGATCGTATTTTTTATTGTTCTCGTGGTATAAACAAAGCACAAAACTATAATAAATAAGCAAATGCTATGTTGTAGTAACTATCGAAGGTTTTTTTGTTTGCTGACGTACCCGTGAAGTATGAAAATCTCCCCCTAAAGACTAGAATGCGAATATTATTAAAGAGGAATAGAAAAATGAGTGAATTGTTTTTCAAAAATCTAAATGCGAAGAACAGCTCGAACAATACTTAGATAGAACATACTAATTTGCAAATTTTAAACACGATTTATTAAGCAACATTTTTGAGGAATTATTTATTTTGTGGTGAATGTGTGCTGTTATTTGTTCAGTGCTTTTAATGTTACAAACTTCTTCTTACTCAGCTTTTGTATGCCACAACTCAACTGTTTGTTATTCAACTTATTCGCACCAATTCAAGGTCAACGAAACCATAAAGCTTACACGAAGGTGCCAACTTCTATCAGATTTCGTTTTATTATTTTATTCTTTACACTGAGAATACGTATTCATTCAAAACTATTACACAGCTACACGTTGAATTTATTTATTTTTTATTTCACTCATACTGAGAGTCTCAAGCCAACACCCACACTAGCAGCACACCAAAAGACTTTCGTACATATTAATTTAAGAAACCGATTTAACCCCAACCAACCCTTAGAACGATTCCGCGGAATTTGAGGGGTGGGGCTATAGAAAGCTAGACGCAATGTATAGCGATAGAGGTGCGGACCAGGCAAGACTGTATACCATTCCTCCGCTAAAGTCAGAAAGCCGCTGTGGGTCAGCCGCAACAGGTGTATATGACAGTGTGTGTTCGAAAAGTCCAGCACGTGAGGTGTTCACGCTACACACGAAATGAAAAGTGCCTGTGGGGACAATTTCAAACGCTGAAATTGGAGCAACACTCATTTTTGCACAAGTTTTCAACTCCGTCATGCATTCAGTGGGTGTGTTTTGAAAAGTTATCGTGCTTCCGAAATCAATAGTAACACTATCTTCCTTGTCGGAGCTAATGAATTGGAGAAAATGCCGCTCAGTACAGTTTGTGTAAGCGTAAGTTGATCATTTAATGTTCTACTAGTACACGATAATTCTCTGCTTGAGGCATTTCATTTTGTAGATCTAGGTCGAGTGCTATCATTCTGCCTATTAAGTTTTTGGTAATTTTTATTAACGACTCGTTTGGGTATCAATATTATTAACCCAATAAAGTAATGACATACTTTTGTCTTCAGTAGTTTCCGCATTCTTATGGTTCATATTCGGTTTTCACCAGCGGCAGAAAACCGAAAGCTCAAAGAACCTTCCGCCGTCGATTTGGTCTATGAAGTGTCCTTTGTGGTTGTCATTTAGCTAACATTGAAGCTCTAAATGGGTAACATCGTAATCGAACTACGTTTTTAGAACTGTTGTCTTTATCGGTCCTAATGAAATATTCATTAACACCTCGTAAAACACAATGTGACTAAACAAAGACTGGGTTTTAGGTGGATTTTTGGGTAAAAGAGTTTGCCTACTATCAATTATCGTCGTTTTGGCAACCTTGAATCCAACCATTCATTAGCTTTTATTCTGACATTGAAATTGAAGTGCTTAGAGCTATGTTTCCAGGGCTGGGCTTCAGACTTTGAGATAGGACACAAAAAATGTGTCTATATTTTCTGCAGGAAAACAACAATAATTACTTTTAAAGGAAGTTGAATGTCACTCTCAAAATGGAGACAAATTCTATGGTGTAATAAGAAAGCATTGGAATCGAGTCCTTTGGACGACTGGCTATTTTTATGTTTTCTCGACATTTCATGACCCCGAGAGTACGAAAAATAGGTTTCCTGTTTCCGTCTGTCTATCATCTATTTGTCTATTTGTCTGTCTGTCTGTCTGCCGTCTGTCCGAATTTTTATTAGACAGATAATCTCTGAAACTACTGAAACGATTGTTGTCAAATTTTGTGTTTTACGAATATCGTGTAGATGTAGACTATCCAAAATTTGGATAAGTATCCCCACCAAAAATAGGACGTCATCTCCAAATTTTATGTTAGTAAATATTATTTTAAATTTATAAAATAAGATAATCCTTCACATGTGGTTTATGAATCTGTATAAATCATTAATCAAAATTTATTCCTTCCATCATTTCAAAATTTTGTAATGGAAAAACTCACTTGAAACCAAGGCGTAGCATGCTTCTTTACATTTACCTTAATATTACGTATAGTGAACCAAGAGTTATAAGGTTATATGGCCATCATAAAATCATCCCATTGTGTCGAAGTTAAGTTGTTTACAATAGAAAAGGTTTTAGGGTCGTAAACAACGTGTCCACTGCAGCTCGACCGGCTCTTGTGGTTTCGTTCAGGGGCGGCTTTCACTAAATATGAAAATCCACCACTCCACTATTTCTTTACTACCTGCAGCCGCTGAGGGTTCCGAAATAACCACTCGCTTTGAAAGCCGGCCCTGTTAAATATGAGCAAGAAATGTTTAGAAGATGATTTATTGCCAACCGGTAAGCTTAGTGCGAACCACACAAAGGGGGTATTTATTTGCGGTCAACTACTTTTATGATGGCCATATAACCTTATAGCTCTTGGTTCACTATACATATCTTTGTTTTAACTTAAAGTGTTATCATAAAAAAATAAAATTCGCAAATCAAATCTTATGATAAAAAATCTAATTTATTTACCTTCGACCAATTTTTTGATATCACAACTTTTCGTTTTTCTTTTTCCTTCGACTTTACAGTTTTTTGATATCACAATTTTTCGTCTTTTCATTTTATTTATTTTTCAATTTTTCAATGTTTCAGTTTCATAGTTTTCCGTTTTTTTCAACTTTAATTTTTTCAAATTTTCATTTCATAGAAAAAATTTTTCAAATTTTCGTTTCTTCAATTTTTCGATTTGTAGTTTTTCAGTTTTGCAATTTTTGGATATTACTATTTTTCGTTTTTCCATTTTTAGTTTCTCAGTTTTTCATTTTTCGATTCTTCAGTGCTTCGTTTCTTCTATTTCTTCTTTTATATCACAATTTTTCGATATTTCGTATTGTTTATTTTTTTTCAATGTTTCTTTCGATTTTATAATTTTTCGTTTATTGAATTTTTCAAATTTTGAATCTGATTCTTCAGTTCCGAAACTTTCCAATTTTTAAATTTTGCAATTTTTGGATTGTCGGTTTTTCCGAATTTTTGAGTTTCCAATATTTCGATTTTCGAATATTTCGTTTTTACGTTTTTGCACTTTTTTTGATTATTAAGTTTCTCAATTTTTAATGCCTCTATATCTCAATTTCTCGTTTCTTCAATTTTTTAAATTCCTGATTTCCAATTTTTAGATTTTCCAAAGTTTTGAATTTATAGTGTTTTGTTTTTTCATTTTTATTTTTTCAATTTCACAATTTGCAAATTTTTAAAAATCTGAAAACTAAAAAATCGGAAAATATTGCAAAGAAAAGAAAAATGAAAGCATTGAAAAACTAAAAATCGAGAAACCTGAAACGAAAAAAATTAATGAATCGAAAAATTGGAAAACTCCAAAAATTTTAAAATCGAAAGTCTCTGTAACATTCAAGACCGAAAAATTCAAAAATTAAAAATCGAAAAATTGATAATAAATATATCAAATAAAAAAGTTTTAAATTAGAATCCACTAATTGAAAAATTTTAAATTCTAAAATCGTAAAATTAAAAAAGTGAAAAATTTTAAAAATTTTAATTATTACATATTTAAGATGAAAGCTAGGAAAATTGCAAATCAAAAATTGAAGAAACGAAAAATTGAAAAATCGGAAATTGAAAAATCAATAAAATTAAAAAATCTGAAAGTTGAAAAACCGAAAATTTGCAAATCGAAAAATTGACAAAATCCAAAAATTGAAAATTTCTACATCGGAAAGAAAGAAAAACTATAAAATCAGGACATTGAAAAACCGAAAAATGGAAAAAATAAAATAAAAAACCCAAACAAAAAGTTACAGATCGAAAAATTAAAGAAATGAGAAATTGAAAATTCGAAAAACTGAAAAATTAAAAATTGAAATTATAAATCGAAAAATTGCTAAATCTAAATATGTAATTGACATCCGAAAGTTGGAAAATCAAAAAACAAAAATTTAAAAACGAAAACTTGGAGAGGTACATACTTATTGCAAAATTGAGAACAAAAAAAATTGAAAAACTGTAAAAATGAAGCATATAAAAAACCGAAACGAAAAATAGCCAATAGAAAATTTGAAGAAACGAAAAATAAAAAAGTCCAAGAATTAAAAAATTAAAAATTTAAAACTTTTGAAATTTTAAATCGAAAAATTGCAACTCTAAAAACTGAAACATTCAAAAGTTGGAAAATTGAAAAACGGAAAAATTTAAACTTGAAAACTCGAAAAGCTGCGAATCGAAAAACTGAAGAAACAAATAAAAATGAAAAACTGATCAACTGAAAAATTCAAGTCAAAAAAGCTGGAGTGTCATTTACGCTATTGGTTTTAAATATATATAGAGGTTATCAGGAAACAAAAATAAAAAAAAATATATGGTTTTTTAAAGAAGCAGGATTTGTTGGACGAGGGAAGTTCTGTCGAAATAACGTTCGATCAATTTTTTTCTGACCAATTTCATGATCGTTATCTCAAAATTTTATAAAATAACGTAGGTATATACACTTCGATAACTGTGGTTTATGAATCCGCTTTGATTTTTAATCTTGGACGTGTAGATTTTTGGAAAAAATCAAAATCGTCTAACATTTTACCACTTAACTTAGAAACTGCAAAATGCACGGCTCTGAAATCTTATGAACATTTTAAGGTTATCGTCAGCATGGTAAATCGTTAATCAAAATTAGTTCATTTATTCCCTCCCAAATCTTGATGACTTCATCAGAAAATTTTGTTGGATGAATCCCGTCTAAAATATGCAAAATATTATTAGTGTACACCTGTGGATTAATAATGTATTCATATTTTTATGTAATTTTCTCGAAAATTGGAAATTACAGTAATGTTGTGTCTGCCTATGTATAATAATAATATTAATAAAATAAATATTATCAAAATAACACTATTTACCCCACTTAATTAATAATTTTAGTCGCCTCCTCTGTTTTGAGCACTTTGGGTTATTTTTTTTTCACCATTATTTATTTATATTCAAATTTCATTACCTTTGAATAAATATTCTGTGCATACTTGCCTAAGCAGCCTACAGTGTGATGATTCACACTTGATTAAGAACAGTCACTATTTAGAAGTGCGAAAACAGGCGCTGGACGCTTGAACCTTGAACGTTTTGTCCATCACAGTTTCTGGTTGTGTCATTATCGTCAAAAAACCATTTGTGGGTGCATCTAATGCGTATCTGGTTGTCCAGATGTACGACATACTAAAGTCAAGTTTGGTTCATCCTTGAAGTTGGCCTGATTGTCCAAAGCCGGCCCTGCGCATCTCTGTCCCAGATAATTTAAAGTGATCTTGATTTTTGTATTTTCCCGGGAGGAACGATCTCTTTTGCATAAATAAGCAATCTTTAATTTGCGAGGTCGTTAAGACAGACGTTCTGTAAACAGATTAGTCATTTGTAAGCATGTCGATGTGCATATTTATTCATCGGACTTGGTAACAACGAACCTCACCTTTTATTAATTAGGAAAGTGCGTGTCTTGCACGCCCTCAAATTATCCCGAATTAAACGAATCACCCTAATAACATACGAGTGTTTTCAAGAACTAATTCGTCCTGATTAAGTCTCAGACATCGTCCAGACCGTTGAATAAAGTTTCGTAAGACCCCCGCGGCGGAGAAATTAAGTGAAGTATGTGTTCTCTAACCTCACACAACCTTATTTCGTGTACAAAAATCATCCCACATGGAAGAGTTGTCTGTTATAAAATACGCGGTACAATAGAAAAAGAAAGCCAACAGGATCGAAAAACGCATTGTCGACGAATTATTAGCAACATCTTCCCAAGATTATTTACAGTTCAATTGAGAAAAGAAATTTTCTGATACATTCATCATACACGGGATGTTACCGTGAATGCAATTATTCCG